AAAATGTTCCTTCGTCTCCGGAATCGAACTCACTGTCAGCGACAGCCTCACCTTCACAGCTCGAATCAATCGCGTCTTGCCTCGAGTCTGCTGAGTCTGCATCGGAGTACTCAGAGTCCGAATGCTGCTCTGATTCTTCCGGGTGACATCGAATATCGCGAGAGCTCCCACTCAGCAACAAGTCTGTAACTTCCTCGTCTACGGATCTCCCTTTTGTTTCCACAACGTCACGAAACGAATTCACGAGTGGATCAGACAATATCATCAACATCGAGTAGAGATCGAAGACGTTTTCTTCTCTCGAAGTCTTTCTCGCGTTGTTCAGACGAAAATAGCGACACTCTTTGTGTCGCGCTTCTTGAGCCTCTTCTGTCAGAACGCCAATCGGTACAGGTCGGTTTCGGATGACATTCCCTCCGTGATCCAAGATCTTATGAAGGGTCGGAGTTAGCCCGAACCATCCGTAACGATCCTGCACGACTTCTTTTGTTTCCCGGGCGTACTCTCCGAAGTTGTCGACATCTATGTCGAATTTAGATGAGAGGGTCTTGAGAATAACCCTGAATCGTTTTATGACGCCCTCATCGAGTCCCAAGATGGACGCGCTTTCTGCTGACTTCTCGAAGAAACGTCGGGCGGTGTTCTCATCGTTCGTATTTCCGAAGCCTTGCCTGGGTTGATCTACTCGGGGAGAAAGTCTGGCTTTGAACTGCTCCTGGATCTCCCTCTTCCTTGCTTTTACTTCTCCTTGCTCTCTCTTATTAAGCCTCTTATTCTGTAGTTCCAACCTGTACGCCACATGGAGGAGGAACTCGAAGACTCGTATCCAAGCGTGGACCGTTGACAGACCGAATCTGTAGTTCTCGATCACATCGGGTGGGAGCACAGAACTCGCTCTGCGTTGCTTCTGTGTGCGCTTGCAGATGTAACATGTCTGGGGAGATTTCGTATCCGTCAATGCATTGATATTTTTACCGTCGACCATCGTGAGACGCAATTGGTAGGGTACAGAGATATTCATATCACCCATACTTATCTCGGTCGAGCGCAGTGATTCAATCTGACCTTCGATGAGAGCGACCTCTTCTTTCGTGGATTCCGTCGTTTCCGCGCCAAATATGAGTTTGATGGGCCGGCAGTAACGAGTCGAACCTGATACGGAATTTCGCCAAGCACGGATTCGATCGTTCGTCTCGTGCAACTCCAATGGCACGAGGGAGAACAAGAACAGCACATCGTCAT